AAGAATAAAGTTTTACTCACATTCAGTTCACAGCAGTAATCTGAAGGCAGCATTTATTTTGTGGTTACAGTGAAAAGAAGACTAAGCTACATCTCAGACTCTGCTTGTGGGCTCCATCCTACGTGAAGGTTGAGCCATGAGCTGGCTAAGAGCCAGGAGAGTCCAAGAGTAAGAGCAAGAGAGTAAGAGCCCAAAAGAGAGATGGTTGCATGACCAGCTCTTTTATCTGGTCAGCTAGTTTCATGCCCATCTACCTGGTCACACACAGACAGAGAAAGCTCCAGAACAGGTATGACAGGAAGTCCTCCCTGTCTGGAGCCACATTCCTCTGTGTGTCCATTCTAGGCAACAGGAAAATGTTGTACTTGACTGCTCTAGTAATAAACTCCACCTTGATGTCCACAGAAATCAGTATGAGTTTTTCCCCTTTTAAAGGGGTATGTTGAATTTTCCCAAAGTAAGCTGACTACCAGAGAAAGAGAGGTACCTGTAATATGGAGCCCACATGTATTGCTTCCCTTGAGAGTTTGACTTGAGGCGGCAATCCTCACCCTTATTACATCATCCCGTTGAAGTCACTTCACGGAGTAAAGAATTGCCCAACTTTGACCATAAAGGAATTCTCTTATCCTCCCGGTACTGACACTATGATGATTCTAAACTCTCCACTGCAGAACTTTAATGCTGGAAAGCTGAAACTTTAAAAGTCCTATTTTAAAGCCTATAAAATTGAATACAATATTTTTTATTTTTAAAAATCGCTTAGTTCCCACCCACATACCCTCAGCCAACTTGTGCACGAATTTGATCTTGGTTGGTTCAAACATTTTGTTTTTCTTTGCTGCCCAGTTAATAAGTGAGTCATATAAAATTTAAATAAATTAATAACTTGACAAAAAACAATACTCTAGTCAGAGAACAGATTAGTTGACATAACCGCCGCCGCGCCCCCCCCCCCCAAACCATTAGATGATTTTCCTACAAATCTGCAGCTAACATTACATTGTGGGAAAGTTTTTACATTGTTTAGGGAAGTTTTTACTATTTGATGTTTTATCGTGTTCTTAATATTCTGTTGGGAGCCGCCCAGAGTGGCTGGGTAAACCCAGCCAGATGGGCGGGGTATTATTATAATAATAATTATTATTGAATTGGAAATTGCATAAAAAAGAATAAATACATCGTCGTTTTTAATGCGAAATGAAAATACCAAACAGATTTTTAAAACACAAACACACTATAAATGCTGGGCTTTAAAACTAGTGTCTTCATTCCCTCCCTCCTCAAGAATTTATAATTACGGAACTTTCTGATTTGCGTTTTATATATTAAAAACAAAATGTAAATTATTCAAATGGTCTCTGTATTCTAGAAATGAACTTGCAGAAACCAAAACCAAAGTTTAGGCATAATTAATCAGTTGATATTTTTAAGCCCTTGGAAATATCAGAGATGTCGATAATCCGGTGTTTTATCGTATGGGAGGATTGCTAGGTTGAACTGAATTATACAAAACCCGCCGTTTCTAGAATTAAAACTCTAAATCTGTTCTTAAGCTATATACACTTGCAAATACCATGTTGATCGCAAAACGTCCAGTCATTTCCTGCTTTCTTTCCTAAGACAAGTTCATGTATTGTATTTTTTGGCGCGGGAGGGGGGAGCAAAAATTATACTGAACTGCAATTCTGGGTGTATTTACAAACGTGAAGACACAATGTATCGAACACAACTTTCTTTTAAATTGATTTATTGACTTCTCAGAGTTAAAATGCTATCCTCTTTCTCCAAAACTAGAATCTAAAACATATACTGCAACAGAGTTGCCTCGATGTTTCCTCAGTCGTCTTTCTACCACTTCCCTCTCTCGTTGTTGCTCTAAAACGCGATAGAAAAGCCCCCCAAATCTGAAAAATGGAAAAATTAAAACGTGGGAGATTATATTTTTCAGATGACCCAGCCTGGCTAACAACGGTTTTTCTACATATTCCAAGTTGCCTTTTAAGAACAACCGTCTTTGAAAAATAATGGAAAACAAGTCCTTTAATTCTGGTTTCTAAGATAGTCAACTTTCAGACATTTGAAGAAAACAACAACATTTCTTAAAACGCAATCCACAACTAATAATTCGATAGTTGGGCTAGGAAGGTTAGGTAGGAGGGTAAATAGACAGGTAAGGTGATAGACAGATAGGATGATGATGATAAGATACAATTTCTTACACTGCTTTGGAATCCTAGCGTAGGGTCCAGCCACCGTTAAGAACTTTTAAGATCTATTGATTGCAATAGGAGGGATTTGAATGCCATCCTAAACACACTACTTTGACCCACTGAGGACTAGAGAAATCTGAAGCATTTAATTTTGACTGACTCATGATCCTGGGATAGTTGAGAGTTTGGAGGGGTTTTTTTGAGGAGTGAGTGGGAATCCAGCTATGTCTAAAGTGTCTCGAGCTAGTACTGTCCACGTTTTTAATTCTCAAGATAGATTGTAAAGAACGCATAGACACAGTAGGATGGTACGCAAACAATGACCGCAACGAAACAGAAATATTATTTTTATTAACATATAGTGACTATCTTTGCCATGCTACTAAACTAGCAAACTAGCCGCAGTGGTGTGTACACACACACAGAGAGAGAGAGAGAGAGAGAGAGAGAAGGATTAAATCTCTCACAAATCAAAAGGTTCAAAACCAACCTAACTTTTGGAAAGACGTTGTTATGACTTTTGATAAGACTCGTAAGAAGACCACGGCCTTAAATTTTAGGGATGATGCCTTCTGTTTTGGTCAACAAATTCTAATGAGCACATCCTGATTTGTTTCATGCCTTCCTGAACATTAGGAATTTGGAAATCGGTGAGACTTGTCTCCGGGTAAATAGGTCTGGGAGGGATGAAACTGCGGGAAACTGTCCTTTCGCAGAGCCCAGCTTACCTTTCATTAGGCGTATTTGCCGGATGACTATCAGCACATTTCCTGAAGAAAGACAGCTAAGGCTCGGTTCCTTACTTGGAAGTAAGTGGCACTGTCTTCGGCCTGATTTACTTCTGAGAAAACTTGCATAGATTTGGGCAGCATGACTACTAGGGCCGCAATGGACTAAACAGGTATTAAGGCAATGAGAGGAGGATATCTCTTCTGAATGTCAGTCCGCCTAGCTGTAACCCAGTTTTGTTTTAACATACTGAGTAAACGAGCAATCGGGAGATTTACTGAAAGGAGTTATATTCTCCCAATCATCAAGTTCAAGTTCTGCTCTTTTTTCTCCCTGTGTGACTGTGCCTCAACACTCTCTGTGTGTATTCGCGCACGCATATGTGCAGCGCCTGCTTGGCCATAATGGATTGGGTTCAGTTGAGTCCCCTTCAAAGTAAACCCATTGAAATCAAGTTAATCGTGTTCATTCATTTCAGTGAATGAATATCACTGAAGCCAATCACTTTCGACTACGCTTCTTTAGTCTGACAATGAATGATCCCTGACCCAATCTATATTTTTCTTTAAATCTTCAAACTAAAACCCATGCCAAAGCGTCTAAAACACTGCATCCGGACCATCTGGAAAGGACCTCTCTATATTTAATAAAAAGGGTGGGTGGATTGCAAGAGAGAAATATCGCAAATATCACAGAGAAGTGTGTGCAAAGGGGTGTGAAAGGAAAGCACATTCCAAAACAAACTGTGGTCGGTGGCCAAGTGGTGGAAAGCGCGAGTCAAGACGCCAAGCAACTCAAAGCAACCGTCTAATAAAGAATATGGTGATACCCCCACCATCCCCACCAAAATATTATTTGGCTGATCAGTTTACCGACATGGTTGTAAGCCGCAGCCTCTCGGGGCGGGTGAAGGGGCTGGACCAACTGCAGAGCAAAAACCCTTCTTGAATTCTTTCCGTGGTTTGCGCGGTTGCTGGAACAACAAAAAATGGCTGCATACCTCCTGCTCAGACTTCGTAAACCACCATGGAAGGGAGTCCAACCGTTCGTCTTCCTCTTTCTACACTTTCCCCAAAGAAATGTCTCTATTGTGGGCAGCTCTGAGGCTCCCGCCCCCCCCACCAGTCTTCCCGTGCAGGTCAAAATAGCCTCTCTACCAAATCTGAGTTCAGATCTATAATGCATTGCAGGCACCATCAGTGACCTAATGCGTGGTTGCCTGTACACATAGGGCACTCACTCTCACCATCTCTTTAACTGACCGGATCTCCAGCCTTTATTAGCCCGCACAGACCGTTGGCCACTCAACATGGCATCGCACATTCACCATCGGTGGTGGCGAATATCCCAGCTAATATTTATCTCGGATAGTTAGACCTTCTCAGAAGCTTGTCCAGAAAACTCCCTAAAAGACCTGCTGGTTTTTATTGCTCATCTGTTTCAGTTCACGTTGGATAGAAGGCGTTTATTTTTGTCAATTATTTTTACATTTGAAATAAATGGAGTTTAGTTTAAACGGAAGCTCCCAGGGAATCCTGCCTTACTAATTAAAATACAGAACTGGTTTTTGAGATATCTTTTCTTCACCTCAGCCCTTTCCACACGCCATTCCCAATCTGTTCTACTTACACGGGATCTCTTAACTTATTTCTAACATCTAGAGGGCCACAAGTTTCCTATCTCTACTATGGAGAATGGTGAAAACAACTGATTTGACCCTGTATGCTGTTTGTCCATTCATGGCCTTCATCAGCCATAAATGTTCAAAGCCTAACATGCTCAGTTGTCTAAGACTGAAATTATTGTTGGAGGAAATGCAATATATATTCTTCACTTCTTGTATCTTCTTCCTGGAAGTCCAGTGGATCATCTTTTAATCTAGCTCCTACCATCTTACCATTCTAATCCATTATACTATTCTTCTGCCAAAGGTAAAATAACCAACTAAAATTTGATGTTATGATATTCACTTGGCCATGAAGCTTACTGGGTGACACTGTGCCAGTCATTGCCTGTCAGCCTCACCCAGCCAGCAGGCATGGCCAAACTTGGCCCTCCAGCTGTTTTGGGACTACAATTCCCATCACCCCTGACCACTGGTCCTGTTAGCTAGGGGTGATGGGAGTTGTAGTCCCAAAACAGCTGGAGGGCCAAGTTTGGCCATGCCTGGCCTAACTTATCTCACAGGGTTGTTGTGGGGATTAGGGCAGGAAGAACCATGTGCACTACCTTGAGTTCCTTGGAGAAAAAAAGGTGGGCTAATGCAATATATTATTATTATTATTATTATTACTACTACTACTACTACTACTACTACTATTCAGTCTGGCCTAATAAATTCATTACCCTAATATGGATTTCAGAACTCTTCAGTTGTGCTTAATACAGCCCTTGCCAACCTAATGCCTTCCAGATGTTTTGAACTACATGTCCCAGTAGCCCCATCCAGCTTTTGTGGTGGCTTGGGCTGCGGGAGTTGTAGTCCAAAATATCTGGAGGGTGCCAGGCTGGGGGATCTGGCATTGGTCACACAATAGAACCAAAAGTAAGAAGGGGGGAAAAGGCTTGGGAGAATGTTCATCACTTTCTGAAGCAATTTGCTATTGTGTAGATAATATAATGTTCTGATTCAAGGAGATGTGGATGACCAGAGGACAGCCTATCAAGCAAGAACTAGGCAGGCCACAAAATGTTTAATGGGATGCCAAAGAAGAAAGGAATTAGATGGTATTTCATGTTGACATAAAGACAGCACAGGAGGGGAAGGAGAACATTTTCCAAGGAAAAGTCAATCTTCCAATAAGACATGAGATGATGGATGTAGGGGAAGCAGCAGCCAATGGTTGCTGGGTTGAAGTAGATTTGATATTACACTGGATTCAAAATGAAAAGCTTTTCAACAGAAGCAAAGATGGTTTGTTTGTTTTTTTATTATATTGAAAATGACTTTTTAGCATGTATGGTAAAGAGGAAAATATCAAGACATTGAAGTATCAATGCAAAATAAGGAATTTTACTTGCTGAGAAAGGCCAAAACATATTTCCTATGTTTTTAATCACATGTTCTGGTTTTTATTTATTGGGTTTTGGGATCTTCAACTATACCTGCCACCTTGAGTTGCTGTTCAGGATATGAGAACAGAGATTTAAAATTCAGTCAAAGCCAACAATTCATATTATGCTAGATGGGCACATGATAGGAACTAAATCTCACAGAGTTTCCTGTAAGTTTCCTAGAGAAGACTCTGTGAGAGATACTCTAACACTGCTCTGACAGGAGTAGGGCGTAGCTACCATATATATTCTCCTACCTGCCTGGACACGTTCTCTTCATCTCTTGCTCTTCCTCCCTTGCTCTCATCACCATGCTGGCAATGTAAAAGCATCTGCTAAGTCTGAGCTCCATGTTCAGACTCCACTTAAGTTAGACTTAAGTATGTATTTGTAACTGAATTACCATTTTAAGCTTCCCTGAACAAAGCTGCTCTGTTACTCTTCAACAAGTATTCTGAGTGAGGAAAAGGTATTGTTATATTTTACAAGACGGTTTGTGTGATTATTGTTTTAAGGGGGAAATACCAGGGAAATCCAGTCTGCCTTAAGGCATCCAGGTTTACTTAAACTAAAATGCTAAAACTAGCCAATCTAAGCTTCCAATTTAATGCTGCAAAGGTATGGCACTCTGCTGAACTTACAAACATGAGGAAGGAAGGATAATAGCTAATAAATATATCCTCTCCTAACATCTAATCACATCCCAGTGTAGGAGTGCTGGAGCATGCTTTTGGTGCATTGCACTGATTAATCAACTAAAGTTGACTGCTCCAGTTATTATTACTAAATATAAGTTTGAGCCACATGAAGAGCTCAGTTCTATTTGATAATGCCAACTCAGCTTTAAGCACAAGTGCCTAAATTACTAAAATAGATGGATGTTTCCACCTGTTTCATAGCATTCCTAGACTGAGCCTTACGTCAGCAATGTTGGAACATATATTGCCTTTTCCCCACCTGGAAAACATCCATCAGTTTGAGGGACACTGCATGGAAAGATTACATCATGTCATACCAGACAAATATGGTAGATTTTGGATCCGTATAAAGCCTATTTATACTCCAATTTTTCCTAGACTGCTAGTTGCAGAAAATGATTTTGTCACCTAAACTGCCCAACATCATACTGGTCCTTGCATAAATATGTGTGATTCGCAGACACACATCAATATGTGTACTAAACAATATATGTATATTGGTTTACTATTTCATGCCTCATAACAAAAGTGGAATTCAAGGCCAGAAGACATTCTTGATCAGAAATTTAGAAGGTGTAAAAACAGGAGTAGGGAAGAGTTTGCTGGACAGGTGCTTGCCAAATGATTCCTCCACGTCTCTCAGGTGCACATTAATATTTTTGTAGGCATGAGGTTCTTTTTTAATATATATATATAATCTAACACACACATTTCTCCAGTCCATGTGGATCTATGAAGACTGGAAGCAGACACCAGCCTACAATGCATTCTGGAATTCCCTGCTGTCTTGGCTTTATAGATCCAATACAAAAATATAAATTTGTGAAGTCCTTGGCTACTCCTGTCTCTAGCGTAATGTTAAAATTCTCCACTGGCCTTCTTCCTTGTCTTCATGAGCTGAAATATCACCTGGGTTTAACAAGAGTCTCTTCTGATGTTAAAAAAAAAGTCCTCCACCAGCTTCTTGCTCAGTTTAGTCCCTCAACATTTGGAAAATGTTGCACCAGGACTGAAAAAGCATATGGATATTTTAGAAAGAGAAGGATAGTGGTGCACAAATATGTAATAGCCTACGTCTCAGTCCTATGTTTGTCTACTAATAGGTAAGTCTAGTTGAGTTGAACAAGGCTTACAGTACTCCCAAGGGGAAGTGTGTATATAGGATTGCAGCCTTAATGTAACAGTCACTATCTGAAGTCTTCTACAAAAGTTCTGGTTAAAAAAATGTACCTAGGAAGCAACACAGTTAGTTGGATCAATCAACTTCTTTGTGTCATGTAAATTGAGAAGAACAATCCTTGAGAGATGCTGTAGGCAGAGAACTGGTTTAATATAGTGATCCAAAATGTAAACCATTAACAAGGTGTCTAACAGCCTTGAGATAGATAGGTAGGTAGGTAGATAGATAGATATAGATAGATAGATAGATAGATAGATAGATAGATAGATAGACAGATATAGATCACCTTTCCTTTTCCTTTCTTTTGCCTTTCTTTTTCTGAGAAATAAAATCAAACTGATTGGGGGAACTCCCAGAGCTAGAAAGCAGAAGAGGTGCAGAGGAGAGGGAAGGGATTTTATATTTAGATAGATAGATAGGTCTAGTTAGAAATCACAGTGAATTGTGTCCTGAGGCCACTCCAATCACAGTGATTTGGAGGGTGGATGCTGAAGGTAATAAACAGCAGTTCTTCATATGAGTTACCATTCTCCTCTAACATCTGGCTCTGAAAGCAGGGTGATGGTCTTCATAATGAAGGTAAAATCACCTAGCATGATAGTCATTGGATTCATTTATCTGAACTTGCCTGGGACACCTTCCTCATTTCCCCAGTCATTCAGAATATTTTTAATGTTCCACATGCAATATTATAGTAATCCTTACAGCAACCCTGTAAAGTACCGGTAGGTCAGTATTGCTTTTGATGTTGTAAGGGTTTGAGGTTGAGAAATGATACCTTGCCTAAGGCCATCTAGAGAGGTCATTAATGAGGTTGCATTAGAACAATGGGCTTTCTAGGACACAATTGTGACTGCTGTACTACATGACCTCAGGTGTGAACTCACTCAGAGGATGTCAGTTGTGGTTGCTTCGGTTCCTGCAGACATAAGACATATAGACATTTGTTTTTGATCCAAAGAACAGTAAGCCAGAGGAGAAAATGCACACATGGAGTCTGAAAGAAAGTGCTAATAGAAAACCTATTGCAGTGCAGCGCAGAACAATACACCATAAAGAAGGCTGATCGCCGAAGAATTGATGCTTTTGAATTATGGTGCTGGAGGAGACTCTTGAGAGTCCCATGGACTGCAAGAAGATCAAACCTATCCATTCTGAAGGAAATCAGCCCTGAGTGCTCACTGGAAGGACAGATCCTGAAGCTGAGGCTCCAAGACTTTGGCCACCTCATGAGAAGAGAAGACTCCCTGGAAAAGACCCTGATGTTGGGAAAGATGGAGGGCACAAGGAGAAGGGGACGACAGAGGACGAGATGGTTGGATAGTGTTCTCGAAGCTACCAGTATGAGTTTGACCAAACTGTGGGAGGCAGTGGAAGACAGAAGTGCCTGGCATGCTCTGGTCCACGGGGTCACGAAGAGTCGGACACGACTAAACGACTAAACAACAACAACAACAGGATGGAGGGTGAATTCTAATGGGCTATCAAAAAGGTATTGTGAATGAGATGAATTTGGGATCACCTTCCTCACACAACCCTTCCATGAGCAGAGAAAACTTGATGGTAATGAAATGGCACCCTTGGATGCAAGCCAATTTTCAGCTCTGGAATGGGAAATTCAGCCAAGCAAACAGGTCTTTATGGTAATGGTCCTACATCTCTAGTAGCTCCAGCCCTGCCACATTTCTGTGTTAAAAATGGACAAGAAACTAAAAGTTATTGGCCCAGGACAGCAATATGGGACATGATATTAATATGTGGGGATACATCATGTGCATGTTTTAAATAAGGGCCAACTAGAAGGCTGTGGACTGTGTCTGCTCCATTTAATGCCCTTTATGGTCCTTTTTGGTGTCATCCTTCACAGTGACATGAACCTTCCCTATAGATAAGTTTGTGTGTGTGTGTGTGTGTGTGTGTGTGTGTGTGTGCGCGCGCGCGCGCAAAGCAAAAAACACTAGCTTTAAGAAAATGTGATACAGAAAGCAGGAATTTTCAGTGAAAAGGGGAAACTAAAATACTCTTTTGACTTAAGAGATCACAGCTGTCTTTTATGTGTAACTAGGAAAACGTATAATTTCTGGCTTCACTGCCCAACAATACCTCAGAGGGCTACAGGTTACCCACCCCTACCTTAGCATAACCTAGATAGAGATAGATAGATAGATAGAGTGGTACCTCACGTTAAGTACTTAATTCGTTCCAGAGGTCCATTCTTAACCTGAAATTGTTCTTAACCTGAAGCACCACGTTAGCTAATGGGGCCTCCTGCTGCCGCTGCGCCGCTGCTGCACGGTTTCTGTTCTCATCCTGAAGCTAAGTTCTTAACCCGAGGTACTATTTCTGGGTTAGCGGAGTCTGTAACCTGAAGCATATGTAACCTGAAGCGTATGTAACCCGAGGTACCACTGTAGATGATAGATAGATAGATAGATAGATAGATAGATAGATAGATGACAGATAGATAGATAGATAGATAGATAGATAGATAGATAGATAGAGTTTTCATACATTTTTATTTACTACAAATAGTGATAGAAGTAAAGTTGCACATTACAAGGCAACAAAAAATACTAATCTTGTACAATTCTTGAGGCACCAAACCGCACAGAAGAAATTGTCTGCTCATTTACAAAGCTGAGGTCTTTGAGACAGTCCAGCAGCCTTATCCTTTTGCAGCAATCATTAACATATTACATGGGAGTCGTGGCATTCAAGCTGTTCTAGACAGAACTGGACACCCACTAAGAAGAATGTTTGCAGTTTGGGTGTGCTCCTTGATCTGTCTTTGACGCTGGAGGCCCAAGCAGTCTCAGAAGACCTTTCATCAGCTGATGCACAGCTCCCTCTGGGCAGAGGCATCCTGGTAGTCATGGAGGTTTAGGAATCTCCACATCGCACTACTGTCATGGATTGTATATGAGGCTGTCTTTGAAAAAGCAGTTTAAAATGCTTTTTTAAAACTGCAATTAATTCAAAACACAGTTTGTTCAAAATGCATGCTACTGTCTGGGACTGGTCATGTTTTGTAAATGTCCAAAAATTCAGTGAACTATCAGTATTCAGTGGTGTATGTTGGACAAATGGTAAAATGTGTATCTATTTTCAGACATTCACAACATTTCCCTCAGAATCTCAGTTTTTATATGTGAGCATAAATTTGTCATTTGTCAAAAGTCATTAGTCAAACAGAATCAAAACTGATGGAAGTCCAATAAAATATACATTGTGTTTATGCAACCGTGTCCCTTGTGGAAATGTCCTTTCCTCAAAAGGACTAAATTATTCTTAATTAACCACTTCACAGGTTATGAAGAAAAAGAAACACAAGTATTTCAGGATTTTCTTTTTATGGTCCAAGGCCATTAAGTAAAAGGAAAATGTGTACATCTTCACTGCAGAGAGCTGCAATATGGGTGTGGAAGATTCTGCACTCATATCAAGAACTCATGCAAATGTAATCTTTGTATATTCGCCTAAAGCATGGGTGCATGTACCTCAGGCCTGGGGGCCAAATAAGACCCCCATCAAGCCTCTCCATATGGCCATTGGGATCCTCCCCAAGGCACATCCTTCCCCGTCCATGTTTTGTGCCTCACTCCATCATTCTTGCTGGATGCAGTGTGTCCCTGAACTGTAATGATGCCTCTTGATTGCAGCGATAGCAAGGTGTATGCATGAGAGGTGCAAAACCTCTGGTTTTTGGGTGGCTGGAATGTGGCCCATCTGTTACTCCATGTGGGATGTGAAACACAGAACAGTCAAATACAACATTCCTAGAGAAGGATGTTTGTCCAGCCAGTAAATAAACTTCCTGTTTCCTCCTGGGCTGCAACAAACTTCCTCTACATGTGACCAGAGGTAGGTATGACCTTACCTGTGCAGGTAACAAAATAGCACAGGGCAGGCAACTATCTCTCTCTCTCTCTGACTCCATTCCTCAAAGAAGCAACATCTCCTTAGCCTGAGATGCTCTCTTGGCCTCCAGCCAAGAGAGGACAAAGGAACTACCTCCTTATGGGATAGATTCGAAGTGTATAGATTTTGTGACTTAAGTCTGCCTTCTGGGATCCATCTGTGAACAGAATGTGTGAGTAAACTATTTTATATCTTTTATACAAGACTGTGTCGTGTCTATTCTTTTTAGGAGGGAATAAAGGGAAATTACCAGGAAACTTATTTTAGAGGCTTAAGCAAGCCTGGTAACAAGTTATCCACTGTGTATTTTAAAAAGAGCAGTAGACTCTTTTTAAAAGAGAATGTTACTCTGCTAAATTATAGAACTTGCTAGGGCAAGTTGCTAAGAATACTATTAAACAATATATCCTCTTCTGCCTCCCTGAATATTCCTACACTCCACCCACTTTTTGGCTCTGGTTCTTCCTACCACTGGCCTCCCAGGAGGTTGCCCATGCAGGAATACATCCCTTAAATAGAAAAAAGCTTTCTCAAACCAAGCTTAAATTAGGGCTTCATACAGATTCTCTGTTATTGTTTCTTGTTACATGTGAAGTATCCCTCAGTATAAGCAGTGTGTGGTGCTGGTAGTGGGGATAATGGGAGTTGCAGCATTCTCACTGGGAGGTTAGTGGGGTATATTGGTCACAGGGATAGCCCAAAACTTGTTAGCACCTGCGGAGAACCAGAAGGCTGGAGCTCAGTGGCAGAGCAGCTGCCTTGTGTGCAGAAGGTCCATGATCCAGTCCCCAGTAGAAGAAGAAGAAGAGTTTGGATTTGATATCCCGCTTTATCACTACCCGAAGGAGTCTCAAAGCAGCTAACATTACCTTTCCCTTCCTCCCCCACAACAAACACTCTGTGAGGTGTGTGGGGCTGAGAGACTTCAAAGAAGTGTGACTAGCCCAAGGTCACCCAGCAGCTGCATGTGGAGAAGCAGGGAAGCGAACCCAGTTCACCAGATTACGAGTCTACTGCTCTTAACCACTACACCACACTGGCTCTCTAGGTAGTGTCTCTAGGTAGGGCTGGGAATGTCACCAGCCTGGAACTGTGGAGAGTCACTGCCAGCCAAGTATGGACCATGCTGAGCTGGATGGACCAAATGGTTTGACTCAGTAAAAGGCAGCTTCCTATCAAAGCCACCAGACCACTGAAAAGGAAAGTGAGAGAGGAGTAAAGATAAAGTGTAGTTGGTCTTGGAGTATCCATATACTCCAAGGAAGCTAACTAAGAGGATAACTGGTTAACAATAGGGGAAATACTAAGCCTCTGAGACCAGGATTTAAGAAGATGAGGGTTGATCAGAGGGTGGTCATAGAACATAGAATCGTATAGATGGGAGGAACCCCGAGGTTCATCTAGTCCAACTCCCTGCAGTGCAGGAATATGCAGCTGTGATCGAACCTCCAACCTTGGCATTATCAGCACCATGCTCTAACCCAGGGGTAGGCAACCTAAGCCCCATGGGCCAGATGCGGCCCAATCAGCCCTCTGATGGTACGGGAATCCGCGTGTTTTTACATGAGTAGAATGTGTCCTTTTATTTAAAATGCATCTCTGGGTGCATAGGAATTCATTCATATATTTTTTTCAAAATATTGTTCGGCCCCCCGCAAGGTCTGAGGGACGGTGGACCGGCCCATGGCTGAGAAAGGTTGCTGACCCCTGCTCTAACCAACTGAGCTATCCAGCTGCTAGAGAGAAGAAAGAGGGAAAGCATGGTGGCACAATATGAAGGAGGAAAAAGTGTTGGAAAATGAAAGGACGGGGTTTCAGGCCAAAGACTTGGATTCTTGATGGAGATTTGCTTAAGACAGCTGGGAGTAAGACAGAAATTGCAGGAGGCAGGAGGGGAGGCATCCCCAGCTGAAAAGGGAGTGGAGGAGCTCAGAAGGCAGAAGCAAGTGGAGGAAATCTGGCACAAGATTGTGCAGGCCCTGTGTCAGATGGCTGTTGCGGTTGCTCGAGAGTAACCAGGCAGGACTCCAACCCTGTGTTTTACAGGCTTTATTTTGGTGCAAACTATTTACAGTGAAGAGCCCCAAGGATCACGTCTGGCTCAATCGCTAGCAGAATCCAGGAGTGGTCTTTTTTTGGACCTCCCCCAACATAAGAGTTTCATTACCCCCAACCTTCTCCTTCCCTCTTTGCGCCTTAGGCTACTGCGCAGGATGGGCGATGGCAAGGGCGTGTTTCCCTCCTGTCCGGCTTGCCCAGGAGCGGTGTTAAGGCTCCCACCAGCATCCTCTAGTCCTTGCACCTCTTCCCCACTGGAGGTGGGGCTTTCCTCCTCCCCGGAAGAGGAACTGCTTTGCAAGATTTTTGGAGGCTCCCTTTATCACAACTGCCCTTCTATTTCTCTCCTCTGAGCCAATGGCAGTTCCCTGACATCCTGTGAGGACTCAGACTCTTGGAGTAGCAACCAGGGCAAGGGAACCATGCAAAAGGCCCTGAGGTGAAAGCCACCAGCACAGAAGCTGTATCCTTAGCTGAATAAACAGATTTTGTTACAACGTAAGCCAAGTGTGGCATTATCTTGTGGGGCCTAGTGGAAGGAAATGAAGTTGAACTATGTGAAACTATCTCCTTCAAGCCTGGATGCAGCAGTTTCTTGTTTCTTTTTCTTTTTTCTTTCCCCCCAAGCTAATATCAGATTTATTAGGTAACTGGGTGCTGCTTAGGAGTTGGCATTGGGGCCCTTCTTCTTGCCAAAGCCTGGCGCAATGTTGAGAAAGAAGCGGTTGTATTGCATGCGCCTCTTGGCACGGCCAGTCTCCTTCTTCTTCTTCTTCTTCTTCTTCTTCTTCTTCTTCTTCTTCTTCTTCTTCACCTTTGGGGTCTGGCCTCTCACTTTGCCAGCACAAACCAGGGAGCCATGGACCTTACCACCCAGCATGCGTACAGCAACCTCCAGCATTGTGAGGTCACTGATGCCCGCATCATCTTCCAGGGGGGTTCCACCAAGGAAGATCACCTGATCCTCAGGCACAATGCCCTCCAAGGACTCGATGTGGGCCTTAAGGTGAGCTACTGTTTCTTGCCCGGTCACCTCAAGCTTGTGCAGATTCTGAGCATGAATACAGAGTTGCATAGTTCCACACTCAGTCGCCAATCCAAGATGGAGCCGAGAGAGACGAAGAGTCACCACCACCACTCCGCGCATGCAGACAAGGGAACGGAAAGAGAGGATGCAGCAGTTTCTGAGGAAGAAAAATCCAAATGGCACTTCCCATATTATTGATAAGAAATAAAATGATCAGGTGAGCAATGTTTGTTATGAACTGACCAGGCACTAAGCAGCAGCCTTAAAACTACCTTACAGCATGAAAGTAGGTTGGCATTACTGCTTAGAATACTGTTGTTGAAGAGAGGACCAGAAGGTGAAATAAATCTTAAATGCTGATATCGCCTTTCTCTTCAAATGGCCTGGCCTTACCCCTTCCCAGTATCTCCTTCTGTCTATAACCACTGATATTGTACCTCCTTTGCCCCATTCCCAGGCATTTTCCAGGTATTCCTAGAGGATCCGAGGGACATAATACAAAACAAAACAAGCAGGTAATTTATTTTGAAGAGACTAAAAGTTATTCTAATCTACATATATTTTTACAAAATAATTCACAACCCAACTGGCTGAACAAGGTGAAACCAACTACCTACTGAATCTTCAGCTCTCATTTAGGATTACCTTAATATCATAGCAACCTATGTCTATGCCCAACTCTAGTGCTCTTGTTTCAGCCTCATATCAAAAAATATCACAAAGGAAGAATTTGTTAAAGCATTTTGTTTTATAAACATGTTTTGGACATACCCTCTTTCATTTCCTTTGGAATTACCTCTTGGAGGATGTATAAATGTTGAACAAATGTGCTTCTCTTGAGCAGCTGAAGGCTACTACAGTTGGTATACATAGCTGATTAGTAGTAGGATATGTAGGCAACAACAGATCTTGATGTGAGCCATGAACGCCTGTACCAAACCAGTGTGGGAGGCGATTGCCAAATGCTACTGAATGAGAAGCTGAGAAAATAAGTTTCTGTCTTCCACTGAGACCAGTGTGGCTTAGTCCCAGTCTACCAATATTTTGGGATGGGGATTCTCATGCCTAGGAGCAAATCATGAACCTCCAACCTCTCTATCTGGCTCCCAGGACTCTTTCCAGGACACATATTCTCCCCTGGCCAGACTCCTCTCTGTCCCTGCTCCAAAGTTGCTCTTTGAACTGGAATAATGCCTCTTATTTGTCAGCAAGGAGGATGAATAGATTGTGTGGAGCCATGATGCTGTCTTATTGCCACTTACCTGGAGGGAAAGGGGCAGGGCAGCAGGAAGGTCAGTGCAGGATAGTCACTCTGGAGGAGTAATCCTGTCAGTGCACTCACAGCACAGAGGCATACCTAGGCTCCCTTGTGCCCTTGGCAAGGAACTGTATCTGCACCCCCTCCTCCCTTGCACCCTTGGCAAGAAGGTGTATCAATGCCCACCGCTGCCCCTTGTGTTTGGCAAGGAGATGTATCAGCACCTCCAAAGCCAGGAGAGACCATGGACCAGAAATTCAAAAAGTTAGCTTTTTTTCCACTTTCATGCTCTGCCAGTGACTTCCTCCACAACCACTGGGGTATGTTCTGCTCCTGTCCACCTTCCCTCCCCCTCCTCCTCCTCCTTCTCCATTGGTCCATCTATCTGCCTGCCTGCCTGCCTGCCTCCTAACCTCTGTTCACTGCATTTTCTTCTTCTTCTTCTTCTTCTTCTTCTTCTTCTTCTTCTTCTTCTTCTTCTTCTTCTTCTCCTTCCTCCCTCCCTCCCTCCCTCCTCCTCCTGCATTTCGCCCCTGCTCTCTCCACTCTCTCCATCTTTCATGGCAACATTAAAGACCATAGAAGATATCAGATTTTTTAATAAATTAATCTACTTGTGGAAATTAAGGAAACAAGTATATAATTACTTGATAGTTTGTACACATGTCATTGCCAATCACTGTGGTGCTATGATTTCACTGCTGAACTAGGGCTGGAGAACCCCTGGCAGAAAATCCATGAATCTTGCTGGCCTAGTCACTTCCTTTCTTCCTAACATACTCACAGGGTTGCTGTGAGGACAAAAGCTATGTCCACCTACTTAAGCTCCTTGGAAGATGGGAATGATAACCGAGAAGTATCTGATACAGTCTTACGCTGCTGGCATTCAGCAATGGACAGGATGAACTGGAATATGAATACATTAATGTGTGCATCTTATGCCAAAGAAAGGCAGTGTCTCAGAGCCTGTTTCCACTTTTGTCCTAGTCACTGCTGTCGCTAGCCTACAATGGATATACTTGTGTACAGAACAGAATCTACCTATTCTGTGTTGTGTCTTATGAACAAACACAACATTGTGGGCTGTTTTCCTCCTCTCACCCTTTCTGATTGTATTTTACTAGCAAAATGTTGCTTATGACGGCCCAGTTCTCAAGAAGATAGTAATCCTATGCTTACTCTGTATTATTTCAGACCACAGGGGTTGGTGTGGCTTCACATACCTGAGGGTTCTTCCATACAAAAAGCTTTAAACATGCTTCAATAAAGACCCAGAGGAAGACATCATGAGGAAAGTCATCCCATGGGGCTTTTTCACATCAGGAAGCATGGCCAAGGAGGCTGAAGAGTGCAGGGAAAATATTTACTGAAATGAAAAAGGCATGCACCTTTGTTCAAAAACCCTACCCACCTTGAAAACCTAAAGAAATTTTCAAGTGCCCTGAGGTAGTGCCATAGCTTGTAGGCTATCTGTTTTTTTTGCCCTGAGTGAAGCCTCCAGAGGGGCGCCATTGAGGCTCCTAGTCTGTGTGTGTGTATGCAAATGTGTGGGGGAGGTGCCAGGCAGGAAAATCATGGAGGCCTTTTTTCCAGGAGAAGAAAAATTTTGAGGAAATTGATAAATTTTGATAAATTTTAGTGGAGGGTGCTGTTCCGTTATAAGATTCAGCTTCCAGTCTGGCCACCTTTTGTACATGGGATGAGAGAGGTGTCATCTTATCTGCCTCAGGTGGCAAAGTATATTGGACAGCCCCTGGTTCAGAGCTCAGTGTTAGAGCATCTGCTTTGCACACAGGAGGCCAAGGGTTCAATACCCTGCATCTCCAGATAGAAATGGGAAAGCTTCCCTGCCTGAAACCTTGGAGAGTCACTGCCAGGAAGTGTAGACAATTCTAAGTTAGGTAGGTCAATGGTTAGACTTGGTCAAAGGCATTTTCCTATTCCTGGTGGAACTACTACTTGATTCCAAGGAGCACTTCATGGTCTGGTTGACAATGTGGGTTAAACCACAGAGCCTAAGACTTGACGATCAGAAGGTCAGCGGTTCGAATCCCCACGACGGGGTGAGCTCCCATTGCTCAGTCCCTGCTCCTGCCAACCTAGCAGTTTGAAAGCACACCAGTGTAAGTAGATAAATAGGTACCGCTCCAGCAGGAAGGTAAACGGTGTTTCTGTGCACTGCTCTGGTTCGCCAGAAGTGGCTTAGTCATGCTGTACGCTGGCTCCCTCGGCCAATAAAGCGAGATGAGTGCCGCAACCCCAGAGTCGATCACGACTGCACCTAATGGTCAGGGGTCCCTTTACCTTTACCTTAAGCCAAAAATAGACACTGAATCAAAATGTTGCTCCCCCCAGCACTATTTATTAATTTAAATCATAACCATGTTGCCTCGCCAAAGCTCAGGGCAGTTTACAACTACCGTTGGAAGATTTTTCCAGCAGTGCTAGTCTCTTGCAGGGAAAATAACAAATAAGTCTTCTGGCACCTTAAATATATATACTATGGCATCAGCATACGTGGACCAGAGTCCATTTCCTCAACTGTATCCTGAGTTTTAGGTATGTTAATTAGTTACCTAATTATCACCCACCCTGTACTTTGTGCACTTCATTTCCCTCAGATCTCATTGCTTACAATCCCCTTTTCAACCATATGTGTGCACATATATATTATTGCAACTCTGGATATGGCTTCCCACATCATATACAGTGAACAGTAGTGCACAAAAGCGCATGACACAATAAAATTGTTAAAATGCTGGGGAGAAAACAAAACACAAAATCCCTTTCTCCCACCCAACCCTCTCTAGGAAATATATATATTTCCAGCGCCACGCACATACGGTCCCAAATGTTTACATCCTTCAGTTTCAAATGGAATTCGATGGCAAGGATGCGACATTTCCATCAGAAAGAACGGTGAGAAGTATTACTCCAGGCATTCTCCCCTATACATACGGAATTAACAGCTCCCTTGTTTACTTAATGGAATTCTTTTTTCCACTCTTCCCGAAATGTTGGCTACAAAACGATGGAAAATAAAGATGACTACAGTTCTACACCAACTGAGTTGTTGGTGTCATTTTTATTTAACCTCGTTTGACAAATTTTAATTTTAGAACATACTACTTTTTAACTAAAAGGAGCACGATTCAGCCAATCTTGGGCACTTTTAGAGTGTCACTGATTTTAAGCGAAGGGTTGAGTATGTGCTTTATAAAACAGACGTGCGCACCTTCTCCCCCACTGAAATCAATGGACGTGACAATGCCTTAACTTCGGGCTGGATGGCGTTCGGGTTGATCTTTGATGCCCATAGATCATAGTTGACTGTCCTCCCAAGACTGCCTACGTGTCCTACTCTAGGAATGGAAGGAATTGTTCATTCCAGTTTTATACATCTGGGGGAACAAGAACTGAGTTGCTGGAATCTGATTGTAAACATTCCCCCCACTCCACTCCCACTCCCGCACCTCACTTTCCAGGAACTCCAGAAGAACGTACTGAATTTTTGCACCCTAATCCTAAACACGTTTTTGGGGGGGATGGGAGAAGAACAGTTCCTTGGATGTAAGCATCCTTGCTTTCCATGGAAAGTACCTCTAAGTAAATGCCATGTATATTTTTTAAAGTAAACTCATATGTAAGTGGGACATCTATCTTGCTGGAAAAGATCTCAGCTACTTGAATATATATATAAAATTTAGGAAAACCGAGGTAGCCATTCTATTCAAACAAAGCGCACGGTTCCGCCGAAGTTAAGCTTTTCTACACCGCTCTTGAGAGTCCCATGGACTGCAAGAAGATCAAACGTATCCATTCTGAAGGAAATCAGCCCTGAGTGCTCACTGGAAGGACAGATCGTGAAGCTGAGGCTCCAGTACTTTGGCCACCTCATGAGAAGAGAAGACTCCCTGGAAAAGACCCTGATGTTGGGAAAGATGGAGGGCACAAGATGAAGGGGACGACAGAGGACGAGATGGTTGGATAGTGTTCTCGAAGCTACAAACATGAGTCTGACCAAACTGCGGGAGGCAGTGGAAGACAGAAGTGCCTGGCGTGCTCTGGCCCATGGGGTCAGGAAGAGTCGGACACGACTAAACGACTAAACAACTAAACAACAACACCCCATTGATTCCCGTGGGAAAAAGAGATAAGCGCCGGTTCGAGTCTCCCCTTTGAAATCAATAAGCCTTTTTTTTAAAAAAAAAACATGCTTAACTTTCTCTGGGATGTGTTTAAAATGCTTCTGAGCATCAGTTAGGCTAGAATCATTATAGCATCTTGATTACATTTGGAGATTGAGGTTTAATGACTCAGTTGACGCTTAATTTAGCTTTATCTTTTAGCCTTCTTGTCTCCTAAATGAATAGCTGCGTTAAACGCCCCAGCGAATATCTCCCGACAAAAGCATCGCTAGAGCAGAGGAGGATTCGGATAAAGTAGGCTCGGGCCCACGAAGAAAGTTTACTCCGCAATGAGTTCCTTAGACCTTCAGGTGCAAGCAGGTCTCTTTGTTGTTGTTGTTGTTGTTGTTGTTGTTGTTGTTGTTGTTGTTGTTGTTGTTGTTGTTAAAGCAGGATAAAATAGAAGGAGGTGGGGGAGGAGTGGACATTTTTCAAGGTGTAGATTTGACGTGGTTGGTATTGGCGGAAATATTTCACCTTCGGCTGAGCGATGCTTTCAGTCCTAAACACACGTTCTTGGATATGTCTTAAAATCTTATGAAGCCAATATGCTCCGAGGATAAATGGCCTGTGGATTTTCCCTCATGCAGTGAGGAGTGAGTGGAATCCCAAATTTCCAGAGTATCTTTTAGAGAGAAAGGGTAGAAGTCCAGCACTGAGTCCAGGGAACAGATCGCCAGCATTCTAGCTTAAGTTACTATTTCGTTTGGGATGGTTCCAAAAAAAGCCTTGGATGTCCCTTCTTTGAGGCCTGCGGGTGTACATGTTGGCTGGGTCCAGATTTAAGAAGAAGAAAATCGCCAGTCGGATAAAATGCTGTAACACACGTGCACCCTCTCCTTAAAAATCGCGTTTGTGCAAGCAAAACAACACGCGTGTTCATTTTGCTGCCCATGGCGACCATATTATACATTCACGCGCATGTCCTTCCCGCTGAGTTCATTGGAGCTTACTCCGAAGTAAGTGCTCATAGAATTGCAGTTAATTTCTTTATACACCCCATTAAACGTTTCCCACATCTTTTATTTTGTTGCTTTCTTTTTTTAAAGTGGGGGCGGAAGATGTAATCGCCTTTCTATTTCTTCCCAAGCGATGCTTGTTAAATTTCGGCTGTCTGAGACGTGAAAGTCTTGCAGTGAGAGGGAGAAAAATAAGAGTCGGATGACTCGCACACGACCCTAGGACGGCAGCCAAAGAGAAGCAACAGCAGCCCAGTTGTATAATGATTTCTTGGGAGCAAGTTTTGCAGGCCGTATGAAGAGCCGGGAGCGCCCCGGCCGCGATGCAGCTGCGCGTTAATTAATTATTTAGCATGGAAAGCGAGTCTCCAAGGGGGCCTGTAACCCACCCCGATAATGTTCTTGAAAGCAAGTGCAAAAGTTCAGTTTAAAGAGAGCAAGTTTGTCAATGCCTTCCCGCCTCTGGTTTCCCCCCATTAGAAGCTCTCCGGTGTGCTAAAAAGGTCTACTCTAAGGAGCTATGTTCCAGATGCGGTTTTGTTGCAGGAGACACAGTCCTCTCTCTCCACAGGTCAACTGAAGAAGTGAATGCTTTGTTTAGGATACATATTGACTCGACTGGAACTTTTCTAATTCCAGTATTTCCATTTAAGTAAGTTTGATTGACTTGATTTCCTCCATTTATATGCCGCCTTTCTGCAGTAAGCTGTGCACAAAGCGGCTTATAACAAACGCTTATTTTGTACCACATGCAGAACATTGGGGGGGGGGGGGAGAAGAAATATCAATAAATTCAAGTTGCGTAAGGAGTGACTTTAAGCTGCGAGTCTAGGTCTTCGCTCTGCAGCAGAACTGCAAGGCAAGCCTGTAAGAGATCATAGTTGTGCATACATTTCCACTCTTTACATAAAATAATAAAAATGGATTTATCTATGTATAGAAACATAAACAAACACCACTATCTCGTTATTCCTTTCAGAACGCGACAAGATCTTTGTCTGGGTCTTACGAAACAATGGGAAATTTATCCATCTAACAATCTGGGCGGCAGGGGGGTGGGGAAGAATGAATATATCTCTCTTGTTTTATCTTGATTCAGCTCTAACAAAAATTCTGAAAATAGATAAAACCTGAAATGGGATCATCGTGGTCCTCTCTTGAAAACTTTGGAAAATTTGAACTACACGTTCTTTTATATCCCACTCTAAGTTTAAACTATTTTAATTAAATCAGTGGTTTGTCAGAAGGCTCCGACCACTGACGAACGTTCCTTCACAAGCCCCAGTTTCAGTGAATGGTGGGGTTTCTTCGGAAGCAGCCACGTTGACTTCCTGCTGAAAAACACCTTATCAAAAATTGATCCCAGCCAACACTGGCTTTCAGGCGAGAATAAAAGGAGTGAGACCCACAGACAGATCTATTTGCGCCGGGTAAACACACTCGAAATTAAGATTGCAATTCTATACAGTGCACACACGTCTATGGCGATAAGTCCCATGGAATTCAGTGGGTCTTACTTCTGAGTAGACTTGCGTGGGGTTGTGGTCTATGGGACCTACCTCCCATAGTATACGTGGCTGGAACTGAGATCCATGACTACGTAGGTTCTAAATTCTACACAGGGGGTTCCTGCTCCCTCCTCCCACATTTCATCTTAGTACTGTGACTAAACGTGAACCC